GTCTTACTGTTGGATTTCACATGCAATGTGATCAAGAGCTCTTTATATAGGCAAGTGCGGGTGTTCATGTGCATGCACGGACTTTGATTAATATTTAGGGATAATTGCAATGAACACTCCTTGATGTTTACCCTTATTTCACAACAGCCATGGTTTCTTTATAAAATTATACATAGGGACTTGAAGCATAGTTGATTTTATGTGTTGCACTCAACTTGCACATATTGCCCGTTATTTGTTCCTATTATTTCTATTATGACTTATGAGGAGATGAGTAAAGTAACTCTCCTCTAAAAGAATTGTATTTACATATTATTTTTCAATATAATTGAATAAATGGCACGTGTTCATGATGATGTCATTATTATGGTGGTGTTATTCATTTATGAAATAAAATATAAAATTGGAACACACATTTATTATTAGAAAATCTTTTTTCGAGTAATTGATAGCGTGAATATATTAAAAAAATAATAAACAGTTTTCTTTAAAAAAATATATAAATAATAAACTACCACTACAAAAAATTGTTATATTCCAACGAAAAATCCTATGATAATATATTCCAATGAAAATTCCAACGAAAATATTTCTTTGGAATGTATTTTTCATGAGAATTTTAGATGGAATTTGATGATTCTAACGGCTTTTGACCGTAGGAATTTCTGTTGGAATATCAATTTCCATTGGAATTTTTATTTCCACCACTGTTGAAAAATCTACCGTTGGAATCATCAAAATCTAACAGAAATTCCAATGAAAAACTCATTCCAACGGAATATTTTTGTTGGAATTTCCGTTGAAATAATTCAAACGGAAATAATAGAATTGAAATATGCATTGGAATTGTCGTTGGAATTCTATTGAAATATATTTCCGTTGAAATTTCATTATTTTCTTGTAGTGTACTGCAAATTCACATTTTTTTTTAAAAAAAAATAGTATTAACATCCTTTTGTTTTTTTTGTTTTAAATGGTTAAATAGTAGTAACCGTTTTATATAGTAAAGATTACTTACTTATTCCGAGACAAGACCACCTCAATTAACGCAGCCTTTTCGGCGGCAGATAAGTGGAATTTAGTATTTATTTATTTATTTCTACAACTTATAATAATCTTTCATTTTTCTTTAATTAAAAAAGAATCATTTTGACTTTTATGTTACGTTATGCCTTTTTACTTGTTATAAACATGTGGTTGTTTCTGTTAACAAACAAGATTAATTCATGTTTCATTTTTCTATTACAAATTTTATTTTTCTTTGTTTATTCTTTTCTTTTTCCCCTTTGGAACAAGATTTTCTAACCAATCTGTAGCCGTCCTAATAATTGAAAACATTTTAATATTATTATTAGACGTAAATTATGGGATTAATTTGGAATAAATATAGCTAATTGTCCCAACATGAACATCTACTCGGGGTCATATGGACGACGACCCGTAAGTATACCCACACATTTAAAAAGAAAGAGAAAAAGAGAGAAGAAAAACTCTTGCTTTGCTTTGCTT